CCTCTATCTTCAATTCATTATTCATCGTCTCTTCACCTTCATCTGCGACTATATTTCCTCCCTCCTGGCTATGTTTGAATTAAATCAGGTGGTCACACGAAATTGACCGGTATGGAAACGGAACGGACTGCAGCAGAACGCACTGCTTTGAACTGTGTACCGTTTGAGCACCCTGTAGCTTCGGTTGCACTACAGCTTTAAAACTATATATCAACCACCTTGCATACAAATCGAGTTCAAGGTGAGCTTTTCTCCGAGTGCCAAAAGACCGAGGAGCTTTTCTGCAGAGCCGTATAAAAGAGAGCAAGTTTTTCTCCAACCAGCTTTACCCCGGTGAGCTTTTCTCTGGGATTCGCATTTACCGGGTCCGTGAGAAGAAAGTAAACCTCGTTGTTTTGTTTTTGGCCCGCTTACATATATATTTGTTGAAAGCTGAAACTCAGCAAGGGTGGGACAAAGCGGTGATATAATTTGAACGTATGCGAACATTACGTTATCTGCATCGAAAGATATAAAAGAAAAAAAATTTTCCCGGCGTTTAAAAGGATACGGAACCGAAATTTCGAGGTCACAAAGCAAGGATGGACTGATAGGCGGGATGCTGCAAAACCCGAAAACATTGCTCATACAGCGATATCTCTGACAGAGTGCCGTATTTTTAAAAAAGAAGTGCGCGATTACACACGACCGACGAGACAAATCACATCAAGATTCTCATTCCCTCTCCTCCCCGCTTCGTCTCGTTAAGCTGGTAAACCGAAGCAAGGAGAGAAGCGAGACCGCTCCCCCTCATTCGCAACTGTTCCAGGAGGATCGTGACGTCATAGCCCTAGCTTGATCGCGTTCTTTTCCAAAAGTATGGCCATCTGTTTAAGATATTGATGTACGAAATGCTTTGGAGTTTGTAGCATTTAGTACAACGCTTCTGCCACCTTATTTTGCGAAATCCAAATTTCGGTTACGTATCTCTTTAAACACGATATTCGCCAAACCAAAAAATAACATTGGGGGTGCCCGAGACATTTATTTCAGTGGAAGACATTTCTGATCAAGAAAACAACATTTTCCTTTTCTTTTTAGTTTGTTTCAATTTTTTCCCCACCGAAATAAAGCTACAGGCGCCTACAACGTCACTTCTTGGTTTAAAAATAAGTGGGGCGTCTTATATAAATTTTGTTCTACAGGGTGATTCAAGGAGACACCAGGCTCTTTAAATCGACCGCAAAATTCGGTTTCTTAACCTATCACGCTACAACTTTGTGCAGCGTTGCCCACAGGTGGTGCATTTTTTTTTCTTCTTTGAAAGATTTGCAAAAAGCGAACTTATTTGAGGAAAAAGTAAAGAAAGAAAAAGGCTTAGCTCCTATGGAAATGCAGCTACGCTACCGGTCTTCAAACAACACGGCGCCGTTTCGCACGGGAGACAAGAGATGGCGCAACGAATGCCACCAACGAACGAGCATACGGCGCCGAGAGCCGGCGTTTTTAGCAGACAATCTTTTCGACTCAAAAGCGGCGCGCGTTCCGCAGGCGGCGACAGTCGCAGAAACAAAAACAGGCGCGGTAACAACAAGGAAGTGCAGTTCCTTGTCTGCTAAAGACGCCGGCTTTCAGCGTCGTATGCTCGTTCGTTGGCATCGCGACCGCTCGCGCCATCTCTTGTCTCCGGTACGAAACGGCGCCGTGTTGTTTGAAGACCGGTGGCGTCGCTGCATTTCCATAGGAGCTAAGCCTTTTTCTTTCTTTACTTTTTCCTCAGGCAAGTTCGCTCTTTGCAAATTTCACAAAAAGAAAAAAAAAATGCATCATCTGTGGGCAACGCTGCACAGAGTCGTAGCGCGATAGGTTAAGAAACCGAATTTTGCGGTCGATTTAAAGAGCCTGGCGTCTCCTTGAATCACACTGTAGTTTCATCTCTTCATCCAAGTAACGTCATGTTCCCAAAACTGCCCATTTACCCACTGCTAGCGTCACATTCTCAGGGAGTTACAGCTTTCTGCGACACCTAGTTTATTTATGTAGATTGAAAATGGGGTTTCTATTTTCTGTAATAGACCCGGTAGCTTAATTTCTGGGGTTCGTTAGGTATGCAGGTGTTGGCAATGCGGCGTGCAGGTTCGTCCATTCCTTGCGCATCTCGTGCGTTTGAATACCCGCCAGATGCGCCCACAGGTTTTTGTTTTCCCCCAACCTTAACCAATGACAGCGCGCGCTTGGCTGCAACGTCGTTGGGTGTTCTCCATGATTGGCGTGCTTCATTTCGTTCCGACATGACAAAGACGCATTTTGGAACACTTGCTCGCTGCATAGTCTATCAAGGCAAACTAAAAGCAGCACGACTAACATTGCAAAAGAAAGTCATTTCTTTTGGCTTCCTTGCAAAATTTTCCTGGCGCTTCAGCACCACAAGTTACAAAGTGCCTGGCAGTCATTTTGTTCTATGTGAACTTATTTGTTTATAAAACACAAAACACCAGGAAATTCAGATAAACGATATAAAAATGGCCAACTCACAATTTTGCGTGAAAATTTGTTAAACAAATTTCGCTGAAATATTAACCCAAATATACGGCCAAAATATGCGAAGTTATTGAATTCACAATTTCGGTCCTCACCGTGCACTTCAAAGCGATTCTCCTGGCAACAATAAAAAGTGATGTCAGATGAAGGCAGGGGTTCACTCTTTGGGCTGTAGAATTGTTACCAACAGATCACAAGCAGGTTCATGGGGTCAAATTAATGTTTTGGAAGCTCGCTTCAGCACCCATGCAGCAGCACGGAACAAGTGCTAAGCATAGTCAATTTTTAAACTGCCCGCTCGACCAGCACGCCTGCCTTCCACTGACGTCACGGCAGTAAAAAGCACGGGTACATTTGAATGTGGGTTTTGGCATCAATTTCATTTGCTGACTTCACAACACCTATTCGCGAGTCCAATTCACTATAGGTGGCGCCACTCGTTTTCAAAAATGGCGGTTATGGTGAGGGTAAGAGATGCGTGCCGGTATACTATTGCCGAGGTTAAAATCGTACAGTAGAGCTACGGCCAAAGCCACAGGGGAGAGAGCGTGTCCCAGCCTTTTCAAGAAGAGGGAAAGGCGGAACAGGAGAGGCTGGCATTCCCAGCCTTTCCCTCCTGTTCCTCCTTTCCCTCTTCCTAGACAGGTTGGGTTACGCTCCCTCCACTGTAGCTTTGGCTGTACTGCAGTTTTAGTGGGACGTAGTATAGTGTGCAGGCTTCCCCGAGAGGCACAAATTATTCCTGCCCAAACGAGGAAGCTAGCGTGTTATGAGCGCAGGTCACCTCTTTATCCTGGGAACAAAAACAATGTTTAGCGTCACATTTATGCCAGGGGGCGTTTTAATTCTGGAACGAAACCGAAACTAACCTCTATTTTAAATATAATTTCTCGGTATATGTGTTCACTTCGGATGCTATCATAACTCATTATCTGTGCTGATATTTGTGTGTTCTTGTTGCTTTTTCTTGCTCAGATAAATGTAATCCGAAATAATTAACAGTGTGCCTTTTAATGAGTCTGACTATTTAGATTATTCTCAATTAATATAATTATAAGAGTAATATCATTTCCAGCCCAAAAGAATCAATCCAAATTTTACAAAATATCACCACAGGTGACGAGTTTATTACATATTCCCAAAACATATAAATTAAGAAACGCTGTTCTCACTACAAAAAACCAAAAGACAGAATCCAAGGCAGACAGCAAAAGTGCGTTTTTTTTTTTTGTTGTTGTTTTTTTTTTTTTTTTTTTTAATTCGTTGAGGTTAAAATCAATAAAAAAAATTGTGTGCGATTGTTTTTTCTTTTTTTCTGTAGAGAATAGTTTTAACTTGTGGTGACTAATAGCAATGCGTGACGCATAGGACTTTATATTACATGCATTGTTTGACAGTTTGGGTATTTTGATAACAAGTCAAAGTTTTTCATAAGCTAAAAAGAAAATAAAATGAGACCTTTCTGGAAAGACATTATGGTTAAATGGCATATTTTTCTAACCGTGGCATTTATTGGGAGCCTACATTGCCACAATTTGTATGAATAATAATACAATAAAGATTTTTAATGCATAGTTTTTCAACCTCTATATCATATGCTGCTTATGATCTAATTTCAAATGCACAAATAAGTATGGCAAACAAAAGTGCAAATTATCATCACTGGTGCCAAATGCAGCACTTTCAATTAACAAGTTATAAAATAAGAAGTCTAAAATCAATGAAAACATGCAAAACATGCCAGCTAATCTGAAGAATCCATGTAAAATTACATTAACTGTGGGTAAGGCATATGATACTAGCAAAGTCGCAACTTTTGACAATCGGCAAAACTTCCAGTCACTACCAGTCCTTCCCAGACAAAGTGCCCCCCAAATAAAATTTAAAAGAAATACTTTGTTTTTGTTTTTCTTAATTATCCAACTTCCCAGAACATTTAACTAATTGCTTTCATTTTTACGCGCCGTCGTTTTGCCAATTTCAGCCCTTCCAGTTCGAAGTGATGCCTACCCACTGGCACCGTCTGCTCACTGCAGCATGTTTCGTTGGCGTTGGAAACCGGTGAAAGAGTAGTGGATTGTTAGTATTGCGTTTACGAGCAAACATAAGCACTATGTGTTTGCATTAATTGCATGTTCCACCTTGCGCGTGGGCGGAGCCCAAAATCGGTCTTAAATTGGCACATGGCGACGACGCGCATGCGCCATCGTGAAGCACGCAATACTAACGCAAACGCACAGCGTTCGCGTACTAAGACTCTAATAAGGTACAATCACATACTGGCTGTAGCACTACATTGAAACAGTGGTGTGTCGTTTGTATTCGGAAATGACATTTCGCATGCCACGATTGCGAGCCGTTCTGCCGTGCCTGCTGAGCAGGAGAACCGGGGGTGCCCTCACTAGAGCGCTTCCCATTTCCGCCACGGGAGGGTGAGCAACGAGCTGGGGATGCGAAATACAGGAAAAGGTAAAGGTCGGTCATTCAGAAAATATAGTTAATTGTGGTGGCTTAAAAAATCACAGCAGTACCTCTTTAAGGCTGGATCAATGAAATGCATACCACAACAAAAACTTCCTTATTTCATTAACATTTGAAGAAAGCTATCCTACAAATCACTTCTAAAAGCACCATCAGGCAACAATCAGTGCAGATCCCATGACCGTGCATTTTTATTGGTAGCATGACTATAGGATTATATTTGCAGTTGAAGCTTGTCTTAAGAAGTAATAGCACACACAAAATCAAATCAGTCCTCACTGCAATCCTGTACAGCGATGAACCTAAACAAAGTATTACAGTTCTTCACAATATCTGGTCACTTAAAACTAGAGATGTCGCAAACAACCCCCCAAGGTGCAAGTTTTGTCAAGTGTTTGAATCTTCTGGATGTCAGAGTTCCATTATTTTAAATAATGTTTCAAATTTACATAGAACAGTATTTTTGTTTCTGTTGCAGCTGACATATGAGCTATGATCAGCAAAGCTCAGAAATGAGATGAAAAACATAGACTTCAGTCAAAGGCAAAGCTAATGCTGCCACCAGTGCTGCCACCACCGCCGCCACCAGCTCACTGCTGATCCATTCTGTTAAAACACCCCAAGACTGGGTGCGAAAAAACCTTGAAAAAACCAAAAGTAGAGAGACAGGCAAAGAAGTCAGGGAGACAACGTCTGCCTGACAAACATTTTCCCCTTATTGGAACTACCTTGCTGTTACGTGGTTACAGTTAGAATGTAGGTATTACTTTTTAATATTAAAATTAACTTGAACTTATTGAGACGTTGTCTGACTGACACCTTTCCCTGTCTCTTATGCTTTCGGTTGTCTCAAGGTTTTTTCACACTTAGTCTCAGATGCTTTAACATAATGGTAAACTTACACAAGCTTGCCTGCACCCTCACTGTGTTTTCACTGGTCCTGCTCGCTATATGGCTTGGCAGCTTGGCTTGCCTCTTGCAACCAGACTTCTACAAAAATAGACAGATTTAGATCACTCGATTACTTCTATTTTTGATGATCGCACATTTTTTCAGAATTGTGTATGTATGGTTATTGGTCATTTTTAACAGTGGCTAAGGCATAGTTTCTGAGTGAACCATGTTCTGGAGGCTAAACCCAGTACTTACATTAGATTTACCTTTGAATCTCTAATCTTTGATATGGTTCGGAGTTTAAAAAAGCTGCCGAACTTTGCAGGTTCGAAATTCGTCTAATCTGAAGTGAAATAAACTTGGAAGTAAAAAAACTGTAAATTGCTTCACATCAGGGGTTCTCAAACTGGATTCCGAGGAACACAGGGGTTCCACAAGCACCCAAATTGCAGTGCCCTCTCCCTCTAGTTTAACCTTCCACGGACTGAGCCATGAATTGAATTAATGTTGCGAGCAAAGCAACCTCACCCTTCACACTAATATGTATATATATTTCACATTGTGCCCCAGGTGAATCCCTCTGCCTTCTTATTCTGTCTGTAGTCCTCCATTTTGTCAAGTTCTGTCAGGGCAGTAAACTTTTGTTCGCTATCTAAATGCCTTTATTGCCCGGTATGATCGGCTGGCAACAAAGAGAGGGCCAAGGGGGGGGAGGGGGTTGGACTTTTCGAGGCTTGCTGGAGTTCCCTAGGACGAAAAGGATTGGGAGCCCCTGCTCTACATAATAAGTCTAAAACTCTGAGAATTATTGAAAACACATCCAGCTTGCAACGTTTTAAACCTTTTGTACCAAATGGTTCAACCTTCGAACCTTAGGTTTGAAAATATTCACACCATCCCTACTTGAGACATCTTCAACAACACCCCTACACCAACTAGTATTAACACAAACAAGACTGGTTGTGACGCTTCTCGTATTATGAGGTTAAAAGAAAACTAATTCTATATGGGAATATTTGGCTTCAAGTGCATGTTAATACAGACCAACTTGCACACTAGCTTGGAGATGCTAAAGTTACAAATGGTACTCGGCTGGCAATAACAGGAGCAGCAGCGTGCTCAAAAGAACACATTTCCAAGGACGAATACACAGTGCAGTTCTTATTTTCACAACAAGCTATGGTCCGTACTCGAGATCAAATCTCCATGTCACTTTATGCTCACTTATCAGAAAGAAAGGCTCTTGCACCATTAAGCATGTTCCACTAAATGTCAAATTAACACAAAAAGCATTGACCAAGGTTAAACAGCCCAAAATAACTCCTATGATAACTGAAATACAATTTAAGAAAATATAAAACACCCCAAATGTTATGCCCTCTACACATCCAATCTAATTCAGTCACCGCGATTTAATGCTACTGGCGCGTATACAAAAGTACCCGTCTAAACACCAAAAAGTACTTTCTTCGTCAAGCCCAAACCAATGCACACAAGACTGAATACCCTTGCTAAAAGAGGGACTTCAACCCACAGTAATTGTCAGTAACAAACATTTTCCCCTTATTGGAATTATTTCACTGTTATGTGGCTACTGTTAGGATGTACCACTTAAGTTTTAATATTAAAATTAACTTGAACTTCGTCCTTAAAATTCAGGCAACTACGGAAGATGTGCAGCACATGAATGTGCAGCCGAGGGGTCATTCCTCAAACACAATTGTGAGGAATGCCACGGCAATAACAACCATCAGCACTTGGCAAGGCCTGTCTACGAGACGTGCCCTTTCCTCGAGCCAATGTGTTAGTCACAAGATGCCTGTCTGAAGTGGTCATCCACATGGAGCTGCAGGTACATGGGTGGCAGAGTTGTGTCGAACATTTTGCTGCAGATGGGACAGAGCTGCTTCATATGCATCGCTCGCAGATGATCCTCCAAATCAATTGGCACACTGGAGCAGATCGAGCAACGAGGTGCCATCATGTTCCTTGAAGAAAGACATTGACATATGTCACTCGTTACCACTCCAAAGAGCCTCTGATACCCCCAAAACTTCTATCTTTCTATTCAAAGCTGTCAAAAATGACCCAGGACATTGTCTACATATCACTCTCCAGACCCAAAAGTTTAAAGTTTCGAGTTTTTGAAATGGTGAGCTTTCGTTGGAACAACTTGCTGATGCAGTAGGGAACATCCCAGGGTGGTGACACCAAATGCCACCCGTGGAATGAACGTACACTGTGCGAGTGCTCGGCTACAATCAATGCCTTGGCAAACATTTGGAATGGGGCTCGTGTCCAATCACTTCTCCGATATAAACCACAGAGCTCTAACAATGTCTGGAACACAGCATGTACTTGGATTGGTAGTACATAATATAAATAAAAGAAAGAACATAAAAGAAAGGGATGGACAAGACGTTTCCCAATTGGCAGAAAACGTTTAATGACCAGTCCGACGACTCCGACGGGTTGAGGTTTTTTTTTTCTCTCGGGAGAGGGGAAAGAGGGGCGCGTTATCAGGGAGAGGGGAAAGAGAAAGAGGGAAGAAACCGAAATGGCATGGAAAGCAAAAGGGGGGAACGGGAGGATCCTAACGAACTGGTGAAGGAGAGAGAGGGAGGTCAAGCCTGAATTTCCAGTTAAAACAAAGGCAAGGTCGGCCTCGGATAGGGCTAGGGAGGGGGAACCGATGTTTGTAGGGCTGTGGCGCATTTTGAATGCCTCCAGAATTTCCTGTCCGTAACTCGACCTGTGTGAAGCTACCACTGATGTGGCCACAAAGACAGGGGCACACAAAGCAAAAGCCACGACATGTTCGGCCATAGGGTGGTAACTCGGGACAGAAGGATTGAGGGCAGAGTTTTTTTACCTCATTGGCATGCTCCCGAACTCTGTCGTTAACACATCGGCCGGACTGGCCGATGTGTTGGGAGCTGCAGCTGAGGGGAATGCAGTAAATGCACTGTTTCTTGCATGGGAGATAAACTGTGGCATGTTTTTTAGAGCAGGCTTTTGGGGGGTTGCGAGAGTTGACCATTTTGCATATAAAATCAAACCCACTTATAACAAACGCGCTAGTTCTGCGAAAAATGGGCGTTTAATCAATAGTTTGTCATATCTGGACTTACCTTTAAAACAAGTTATAAATGAAGCTGGTATTGGTGGTCTCACTCTACCAGCTCTTTATTTAAAGAAACTGTTTGCACGATTCTAACGCGTCCCCAATTCTAACGCGCAGGCAGATTTAGCTTCCGGATAATCAAAAAGTAAATTCCTGCCAATTCTACCGCGCAGGCAAAATAGTGACGATTGACCACATACCTCATTGAAGACATTTTATGATACGCACGCCAACACAAAAATAAATGCCGTGCGCTAGTCAGACGATAGTTCTTTGCTGTCCACAGAGGTAATTAACACTTGCTTTGGTCTAAAGCGTTTTAAGTGCAGCGCTTCTTGTGCATGTACGAGCGCACGGCCGGCCGTTGCCTTTGGCAGGGTTGTCTTTCAAACAACACTTTGCGAGCTCATCGGGTGGCCGGGGTTGCGAGGCCACGCAGTGCTGCTCTGTTATATTTTTCCGCCAGCGTGATGCCCTTTTGTTTGAATAAAACCTCCTATTTAATTTTTTTGCTTTTTTCCCCATCCAGACACGACTCCGTAGACGCGAAAAATATGCATAATACCGATACCAAAATGGCGAACGTAAACAAACGGTCACGATGGCGATGGCGCTAGCCGCCAAATACCGAGCATCGAGTTTTTCTTGAGTTTCGGCTTTGGGTTTCGATTGTAACGCGCATGTAGTTTTGGGCGCCAATTTTGGCAAAAAAAAAAGTGTGCGTTAGAATCATGCAAACACTGTAGTGAATCGGCGGACTACACAACTCGGGAGGGCGTTTTTGCTTTTGTAGTTTTGTTCGCTCCCCAAGGAAGTATGCCGCGCGGCCGTAGAAATGACCTTGAGCGTCTCCTGGAGCAGCGCGCCCAAAATGTAAATGTCTTGATCAGTTTTTTTTTTTGTTTTTTTTTCTCTTTTGAAAGCGGACTTTGAGTGTTCGTTGTAACAGCATAGTGCTTCGAAAAGCGGTCGTTTTATCTGGACCAATTTCAATGGGCAAGGCCTTGAATTCATACATTTCCTGAAACCTGGCCATTATAACCGATGGGTTGTTATATCTGGGATCGTTATAAGTGGGTTTGACTGTAGAAGATAGCCTGAAACGGCAAGAAAAGAACACTTTCATGCCTAACCCAGCAGCCAACGACTTGGTTCGATGCCCGGTGTCGTGAATGTACGCCATACATGCATACTGCGATGACGCAGGTGTACCGTGCCCTCTTTTGATTGGTGCCTATCCAATTATTATGCGCTTTAATGTCACTTCCAGCAAATCTTGGGGGTAATTAACCCAAATCAAGCGAAATCTTTGCATGGAGCAATTCTTAGCTATCCAACATGGGCAGGACTTGGTTCTAGACGACGTCAAAAAGGTCTTTACTATCCCATTTTTTACGGTTTTGGAGCGGTAGCTATTAGACGGGAGCAGGGGCTTCCATGACCTCTGCTGGAACGACCAGCAAAGGCCAGATCCTGTAGGCTGAAGCCGGACGCGAGAACACCTGCTCAATTTTTGGGGAATCCGACGTGTGAATGATCAGGTGATTATCCACATACTGATAAACTGAAGTCCCAGGGGACAGGGACGTGAGCGCCTTTTCAATAGCTTGGTCGACGAAAAATAGGTATACCTCGCTCAGGGCTGGAGCGTGGTATACCAACCTAGCCTTTCTTCAAATGGAACTTCAGCCTTGACCTCCCTCTGTCTCCTTCCCCAGTTCGTTAGGCTCCTTCCGTTCCCCCCTTTTTGCTATCCATGCTATGTCAGTTCCTTCCTTCTTCCCCTTTCCCTAATAACGTGCCCCTCTTTCTCCTCTCCTGGAAGAAAAAAACCCCGGCCCTCCAGAGTCGTCGGAGTGTTTATTAAACGATTGCTGCCAGTTGAAAAATGTCTTGTCCATCCTTGTTTTTTATGTTCGCCCCTTAATTTATATTACACTGACCAGCATGTTCCCCATTCCAAGCGGTACATAACTAGCACAGATCACGAGGTTGCTCACTTTGACCTCTGGGTGAGGGAGTGAACGCCACTGATTTCTCTCAGATTTATTATGAAACTACAGTAAAACCTCGTTATAACAAAATGGGATATAACAAACTAATGGATATAACAAAGCAATCATAATTCCCCTTGCTTGCTATAGTGGGAAGAAATGGACATTGGCTATAACAAACTAATGGTTATAACAAAATAATTATGACCGTTCCTTCAACTTTGTTATAACGAGGTTTTACTGTACCACCGTATTTACTTGCATAATGAACACACTTTTTTTTCCGAAAGATTGACACATATTGGGGGGGGGAGTACGTAGGGTAAAATTTTTGCCTTTACACACTTCGTGCAAATGTCATACTAGGTGCCAATATGACACGGCAAGGTACTGTGGCACGTCTCCACTGATGGAGGCACACCCACAGTTAGGCGGAGGCCCTCCACAGTAACCATGCTTTATAAATTGCGAACCTTTTAGGGCGCTTTCGGCGTGCCTTTTGCCGAAGGAAAAGCACCCTACGAAGCTCACTCAGTACGAAAAGCAATGCGACCGTTCTTAGGCGACATATATTGCTAGTATCCGGCGGTGCACTCAGGTATATACCGCAACGCATATAAGAACTCGTACGAACTCCAACCGCCGACGGCCAAAGCCCGCTCGCAAGGATCAAGTTTCGTTCACGGAGACGGCCGTTCCCAGGGGCTACCAGACACTCTCAGCCCACAGCACAGCATGCACCTTGCTGCACCGTTCTGTTATGGATGAAATAAACAAATTTACCCGAAGTATATGAAATTAGGCCTAACCACTTCCACGATTTTGCTATCCGAAAGCGGACCACAGACGACGGCTTGTTTGTTGACATCAATACATCCGATAGGCGAAGAATAGGCCTCCTGCTTTGCCCAGGAGGCGCTGCAGAAAAACCGTCCGGCAGCGCCCGCTACGATTTGTTTATCGGTATTAAGTATAGTACAAACTTGCGCATTCCAATTCATCCTGCGTGCAAACGTTAGCCGGCGGTATGAAGTCCTTCCGTGCAATTGCCTTACGGTAAGGAATCAAGCCAATTTCTAACGTGCAAAGCTGCTTTCGTTCCTCAACACTTTGCAAAGAGAATAAACTCAGCGATGCAAGCTACGTCTCCGCTTTACAAGAAGTCACAAATTTGGTGTCGGAGTGCTGTCACTCGCAAAAACAGCGAGCTTCTTATGATATCGAGCTTGAGGTGAGCATTACGAGATACGTTAACGCACCTTTTAAGCAAAAACTCCCAAACTGCAGCCCCTCCGTACAGCCAACGCTATCAGCTGATCACCAACCTCGAAAATGCGCGAAAGCAGACGCAAGCGATCGAGCGTCGACTGGCTGTCTGTCGGCCAATCAGATCGTTGATATTTCTTTATTTGACTCTTGAGAAGAGTTTGATCACACCAAAAGGCCACTGGCCCGTACTCGTAGGTCTGTGGCACCATACAAGACATTATATACACACACACACTCGCACACGTAAATAAATACAGTTAAACCTTGTGGGCACCCTAGCAGCTTCCCAGCCCAGTTGCCCAACTGCGAGGCAAAGGTGCCGAACTTTTCCCGCGTGGCGGCGACGTCATGCCAGCCACGTGCACATCGTGTGCGCCGCCTTGATAAGGGGCATCAGAGGCGGCACACAGAGAGTGGCTGCCTGGACTCAGGTGCCGCTGGTAACCATGTTAATCGTCTCGTTCATGTCCCATTAAATGTAGTTTCTTGTTGTTGAAACCGTTGGCTCAGTGTTACTCCTCCGGGTCGGGTATGCAGCAAGGCAAACCGACCACAATGGCGTTCAACGTGGTATACTACCCACTGGCAGGAATTTCACGGG